AACCATATGCAACCTGCCTTATCTCGAGCAATCGACGCGAAAAAAAACCGCGCCGCTTCACCGTGGCTCCAGTCGCTTAGACTGACAACAAATCTCAGGAAGCTTTCAGCAAATCCAGATGATTGTACTGCAATGTGTGCATCATCGCATCATGCCTGAATCTGAGAACGTCATTCACGAGTCTGCTCTTCGCGATGGTGCTAACTGCCTTGGTGGCGGCTGGAGTGACGGGCGTGGGTGCTGGGACCTACCTCACTTGGGACAAGTTGCCCGGCCCAAACAAGTGGCTCCGACCTTTCAGTTTCTCATGTCTAGCGGAAGAACTTCGCACCCAGAAGACACGGACTCCCCCAAAAAATTGTCCTGCTGTCGGTGCAACGACACCCCGGTGGGAGCCTCCCAAGTCAGCAGAACCCCCGGCCCTAGGTCTCGCACACCTTTTCCAAAACCGACCTCCATAGGTATCCCAAGCCCTTCATCGTGAAGCAGATTTTGGCGAAGCTCCCAGGCCTTCTCAGCAAGTCACTGGCTGGGTCACCGTCCCTTGGATGAAGCTCTGCGACGACTCACGCGATGCGGCTTTTGTGGCATGAAACCGGATGAATGAAACGACGAAAGCGCGGCTATCCGGTGCTGCCAGGCTTGCTGTGTGGCCAGGGGCCAGGCTTGCAGGGACTTCCCATGGAAAGACTGGAAAGGAGTTTATGAACAGCAAATTCTTCTGAATGGTTAGGAAAGTTTCCAACGCCAGTTTGTCATAATTTGTCAGTATAGTGGCTCCGAAATAGATTAAAATTGTGTTCCCGACCGTTTTGGAGGGAATTCACTTTTGTATTTGTTTCTAGGGTTACAACAATCAAGCTAAGTAATATGTGTTTATTGCATAAATCCATCAACCATGGTATTGTTTCTATCCCTTCCGGTCTTTGAACGATGTCGGATGCTTCTTTGTGTCTCAAGTTTCGTTTCCCGATGTTCTTGATCCATCTTGAACCTCACACGTTTGCCGGTTAGAGAAGGAATTGGAAGGGTTGCACTGTATCCACTGAGCCAGTTGATGAGATCCCTTTTTGGGGTCTTCACACCGGACCGGCTTGAAGCCCCTCACCGGCTTGCCGGCTTGCCGACGTCTGAGGTGCTCTGTGGACTCGATCGATTTCTCCACGGGCTGCGTTTTCACCATCAAACTCGGAGGCACTGCACCAACTCACCCAGTGCTCGTGTGGGCGCTCGCTCTGTCACGATGGGTTTGATTGACTCACGCACGTGAACGTGGGGTGTCGTTCACATGGGGCAGGGTGGCATTGACCGGCCTAGTACTCTGAATTCACCATCGAAGTAGGTGTGCAATTGCTGCTCCCCTGGTTTAACGGGGTGCTGGGTCCCCTCCCAAAGGATGACCCCATGGAATGCCCCTGTAATCATGTGTACATCATTTGACCGTTCAGTTGTGGCCTTTACTTGAATGTACTCGTTCCACCTCTCCAAATTGGACCTCCTGGGAGACGTCGTCTCCACGGCCGTGGCGGTTTATGGAGGCGTCCGGATCGGCAACTTGGAGCCCTACAAGAGCCCCAATCTGGTGAAGATCGAGTCCATCTGGATCAAGGCGTCCGTGGTGAGTCCAGTTTGGAATGACATGGAGCCCTACATGTGAATGTTTCATGTTACGAGACTAATATCATGTTGAACATGATCTCCAGCAAAATGAGGTCAGTTCCTGACCGCCCCGGTGTGGAAACAAGGTGGCCCACTCTATGAGGGTCTGAAAAAGGTGGCCACTCTAGGTGGGCCAGTAGAAAGCTGGCCCAGCCATCTCACAGGGTCGGCTTGTGTAGCTTGGCCATGAGGGCCACCCAATCAGCTTCACAGCGAGGCTTGAGGCTTAGAGGGCAATGGGTACTTAGTGCAAATGGTTTGTCAGTCATGTTTAGTCATGTGTGCCGTTGTTTTCCCTCGTCTGAGCGGATATATGCAGAACTGAAGGAACGGAGAAGACTTTCCAGTGGGATACATGCACCGTGTCAGGTGGACGTGAAATCTTTCATCAAGTCAGGCAGGGCGCGGTCGGCCGGTTTGGGGGGTTTCCCTGCCGATCAATTCAGTGTTCCTTTGATTGGCCCACCCGGGTGGGTTTGGGAGTCGGGAGACCTGCTTGGCACCCGTCGCGAGGCCTGATTCAGGTGCCGTAGTATTGCAGGGGTCATAGCCGTTTTTCCTGTCGTCCATGGCTTCGACGGAAACCCCTTCCGCCCAGCGTGACATGACGACATGACTCCCAGCTCGGCTCCGCCTGAAGACCCGGTCAACAGCATGGCGCGCCCGGTCGACCGGCGCAGTCGAAAGACTCACAGACCGAGGGACCGAGGGACGGCATCTCTTCGTGGTTTCCCCGGAGATGCAGGAACTCAGGCCAAGCGTCCAAGGCAGAGACGCGAGGCTTGGTAAGGACGAAACCTTTTGGTGTCTTGTTTAGACTAAACAAGACACCAAAAGCACCGACCTCACAGCACTCCAATGACACTTGGACCATCTCGGACCTGCCATGACCTGCCCTTTTCCCATCGAATCTCCCTTCTGGCGGCCCTGGACAGGCTCGCCCGTCGGACTCGTCAGGTTTCAAAGAGCTTGTGGTGGACTCCCTGTGGCTCGACGGTTTGGTCCTGACGGTGGAGAAGCGCACGTTGCAAAGCTCCAACGTGACGGACTTAGTGGCACTCTTGAAGGACAAGGACGACAAGGAGGTGGGAGACCGTAATGGACACGCTGAGCGAGCTGAGCGGAGACGAGGAATGGGTACGGTTATGGACACATGGACACACGTCGGACCGGGCTGGTAAAATGATGTATACTGGGACACGTTGCTGTTAGGTCGTGCTGAGTTGTACTGTAGTGTGCTAAACCTGTCTGTAATGATCTTGTATAGATGATAGTATAATTTATACATGATATTTACATGGGTTTGCAGTGACTGCGACGAGGATAAGGGTTGGTGGATGTCACATATGGCCAGAGGAATCCGGATCTCGATGATCCAGGAATCTCCTGGCAAAATCAGACTGGGCGTTAGGAATGACAATCACCTGGATCTTCCAACGACCAAAAAATTATGGTAGTTTTGGTTATTGACCCGGTTTTCCGCGCAAACGCCCGCAAATCAGCGCAACCGACAAAACGACCGCAAATTAGCACAAAACGCGCGCAAAAAACCAGCAAACGACCACAAAAATCCGCAAAATAACGCAAAACAAACAAAACGACCAAAACGACCATAAAACCAAAACAACCATATTTTTAGGTAGTTGGAAGGTCCACGCATATATAATAGTGGTCGGACTACCGCATTGGTTAGCCATCGCTATTGGGTTGGAGGCCATCGCTATTAGGTTGGAGGCCATCGCTATTAGGTTGGAGGCCATTGCTATTAATTAGATTCCTTCAAGTCTATTAGGTTGCTTAGCTGCTAATTGACGGTCGTTCACCACCGTTTCGCCTCAACATGCGAACGGTCGTCGATGCTCCTTTTGATTGGTCAACAAGGCTCTCCCCGTTTTGAACGTCCAGCTGGCTGTTTGCCTTTTTCCACCGTCACCGCATTCTTCCTTTCCCCCGCGAAGGTCGATGGAGAATAGAGAGGAGCATGGTACTCGGTACTTCCCCCACCTTGGAAAGTAAACTCCCTCAAACAATCATGATTACGTGGATGGCATGGCCCCGAGTTCGATTGACCATGAAATCCGAATACCAGACAGGCAGTGCCATCCACGGAACCATGATTCGCTTAGGGAGTGTACTTACTGTGGAGATTACGGTCCTCTGAGAACCTGCAAAAGAAACACTAAACCAGGTACTGAACCAGGTTCGGCCTGCCGAAGCCGCCCGCGGCTTTTTTGCCGCAAACGCGGATTCCGGCGAACGGTTTTGCTCCACCGCAGGTCGATGGCGATGGAACGGCGCCCAGCGGATTGGGGGAGAACTTGCAGGGCGTGGTCTCGAACGTGGTGGACACGGCCTCGAAGATCACCCAAGGCCGTTTCGGCGATCTTCGAGGAACATGGGACGTTGGTTCAAAGAACTACGCCACACCGTTTTGACTCGGTGCCTGCTTTTTTTATCCGAGGTTTAGTCCGCTACCTTTTCCAGATCTGGCTGGATATTATAAAACCAAGCAGTGGGTTGGAAGACGTGTTTGACCAGAAGGATCCAGAAGGTGTTTCTCTCAAAGACTTGGAACCCACCGAGCAGGTCGATGAAGGTGAAGTCCTATGACGATCGACTAGCTACGATAAGTTTCCGAAGTTTCCAGTTTAGATCCAGTTTTAGCTGGTCGATCTAAGATCAACATGGGACGTGTTCAGGTATAGGGTCGGGTGAGGATTTGCGTATCCAAGGGGTTAGGAGTTAGGAGTCACTTCACTATATAGTATAACGGTGACGCATTGAGAGCATGTCATCTCTCACTTCTACCGCGGAAGATGGACGGACCTCATGAGGATGTTGCTCGGCGTGGCAACCACGGTGGACCTGTTGAGTGAGTCGCAGTGGCAACGTTCATGGGAACAACATCGCACCCCACCTCGCAGGCGCCATGGATGTGGCCAAAGGTGTGAAGAAAGAACCACCCGAGGACGGAACATGAGACATCACGGAATCATGAATGATCCACGGAATCACATCTCGCCAGGTGCTTTCTTCAGATGGACTCACCGTTTTCTACCTGGGATGGACTCATCTTCGATGTTCGGAGTTGGATCGTCTCGTCTCGTCTCTTCTGTCGGAGTCCGAACCGAACCGCAGAGGTTCGGAACGTCGACCCCCGCCGGGTCGGTGCGGGCTGAACCACCGGGACCGACCCGGTGGCCGAAGAGGGTCCAGACCAGCCCAAGGTGCCGAAGGGGTTCGTTCTGTTTAGGAGCAGAAGAACCTAAGAGCGGTCCGATCGCCCCCGTTCGTATCGATGCCCTTTGGTCCTAGCGAGCATTGCTCCTAGTAGTATATAGGCCAGGAGCCCCGAACGTCGCGTCCGAACGCTCCTAGTATGTTTGGGAGGAGAAGAAGAAGTTGCAGGTCATCGTGAAGCAGTTGGAGATGACTCGCATCAGTTCCACGGCGGTCCAACCGTCCGTCCGGAAGAACAGCCGCGGGAAGAAGCCGGACCTGGAGCGATAAACTTCGGTGCAGTCGGCCTGCGTAGCTTGGGTAGTCGGGGAGAATCATCCAACCAAAGAGCAGCAGCACACTACTTCTCCAAGCAAAGATCCGTGGAGGCACATCCATTTTCATGGGATCCGTTATCCCAGTCATCCCTGAGTCATCCCATGGTGTCAACGACACACGGAGCACCGGGGTCTGGGGAGCCACGACCTTCTGGGACAGAACTCGATCGATGGCTGGCGAGGTTTGGAAGGGGTGAGCGCGATCTACAGTGAGAACCAAACGCCAACCGTGCATTTGGCGGTGAAGGAGTCTTGGATTTACCATCTGAACATGCGCATAGGAGTCGTCACCATGTTTGGGAATGTGCTTGGAAGATTCATTCCCTCGCACTGTAGGAGGATTAGGTGTCCCGGATTAGGGAGGACCACAGTTGGCTTGGCCTTACCAACGCCGGTTGGTTGATTCGGGTATACCCTCAAGTGGCACCGACCATCACCGACCGACCAATGACGCCGTTAAGGGGCCGCCGAAGGAGGGGCCTCCAGGTACAACAGGTCCCCTAACACGTGAAAACAATGACCCGAGCTCATGCGATTGTAGATCAGAATGACTGCGGTTTTCCCAAAGACATCGGAGGCTTCCCAAGGGCGCCATATTGGATGGGGAAGAATGGTCCACGAGCTGCTTGCAGCCGGGTACTTTGTGGGCAATGAGTGCCAGACATGAATGAGTGGTAGCCAGACAAAAAACGGCACATGAATATGAGTTTATATACCAGGACCCTCGGGGTGCCCAATGGAAGCCTATAGGTAGTGTGGGGCAGTCCATTGGACACCCCTTGAAGGTCCAGGTATGAATTTATATGACTCTGATCGGATCCAGGCAGCTGGAAGCAGAATGGCGGGCAGGGCACCAGATTTTGACAGGTGCTATTGGGTCCGAGGTGTTGAACGGTCATCTGAAGAAACTGAAGAAGTCACACACACAAACCCAGGAGTTGAACAGGTCCTGCTTTTGACCTTCTAGGTGAGTGTCGCATATGCCGCACATGCCTAGCCAATAATGAACCACCCCCTTGGAACTCTGGCCTGCAGAGATCGCCTTCCTCTTCTGAAGAACCCTGGCGCAATGGGCCGGTGGTGACATGAGACCAAGAGACCAGACATCTTCCGTGCCCAGGATATCAAGTTGAAGGACTTCAGCCGTCAGAAGACGCGGCCTGACCAGTTGGTCCGGCTGATTTTGAAGCAGATCATTTTCAGCTCCTTGAACGTGCCTCGGAGCTCCAGGGTGGCCGGTTTGGGTTCGGTGGAATTCCGGTGGGGTTCGTCACACCCTCAGCGGACCCAGCAGGGCACTTAAAGAAACATCGAGCAACAATGAACCATGCAGTCACTTATAAGGTCATGCACTGAAGCTGCTGGTGCTTTGTTGCTTGGGTCATTTGTTCGATGGCTTTGCTTTGTACTTAGACTTTTGCATCAAGACTTGGGACCGGACGTTTTAGTTCAGGTTGCCAACATGGCAAAGACATCTCGGGAAGACTGGTCGTGCAAATTATCATTCATCCCCTGTCAGACAAAATCGGCATGTTTGTACCTTGACTGCATGTGTTGGTCAACTATATACTGTAATCGTTTTCAAATAATTGTGCAGCACTTGCACGAGGGGTTGGAGAACTGCTATTGAATGCGTCACTGCCTGCCATTGTTAAGTCGACAAATAAAACACCAGAAGAGACATGTGGGGGTGTGGATGTTTGCACACAAAAATGGAGACCTCAGCTTGAGCATTTGTGAATTTAAGGCCGTTGGGGGGCTGAGTGCAATCTTCGTGGAGACCGCCGGCAGCAGCAGCGACTCAACTGGAGAGTGAGTGAGGGGTTGCCGCAGGCAACTGGCAGAGTCGACAGCACAGCGTGACAAGAGCTGTCTGCCTGTCTCAAGAGCTGCCACCGCATGATTAGCAGTGGACTGGTAGCTCACGCAGACGACAGCACAACAAATATCCAGCTCCAAGTACCTCCTCAGAAGGATAGTAGTACCATGTAGTACCATCCAAACCTGGAGCGTTGGGGATGGGGGATTGTACTATGAAACAATTAGGGTGCCTGACGGGTGGGAGCTAGACTCCTGGACGTAAATCCACGTGAACAGAAACCCTCTGATCTTGTGAGTAGGCATTTTCCGACCAATTGGTCCCCCGAAGCACCAGTGCTGCGATTCGGAAACCAACCCATTTAAGGAGCCAAATAAGAGAGTATAGGACACCGTTTTCGTCAGCCACAACCATCCAGAATCCATCTTTTTCCGGACGACGAGGCTAAGATTTCAAACAAAAACAGCCTCGTCGAAGCCACTCGAAGCCATCGCACCGTTGGAGTTCACCCGCTCCGATTGATCGCGTGAGTGGCGCTGCGACGCGCTGCCACACGCTGCGATCAACGTGGTGACGGAAGGTCACAAATAGAGATGTGTTTTTCATTCAGGCTCTGGGGTGGTTAGACACGATCCCTTTGAGTGTTCTACAAGGTCACAGGTGGTCACCTGTAGATGGCTAGTGACGAAGGTGCCACCAAGCTCAGCTCCAGGCTAGAGAGATGGCTAGAGTTTTTGTTTTCAGCATTGGTTCTAGTCAGCTTGGCTAGTGACTAGGATCTTTTTCACCTCTTTCATGGCGGTCCCTCAGGGTCACCCAGGCGGCCGCGTTGAGGCTGGTGGCTCTTGGAGCAGATGGGCGGTGCCTTGGCCACGGCGGGCACGGTGGTCACCTCGGCGGGCGACGCGGTGATTTCAGTGGGCAGCTGCGCCTACTGCAAGGTGAGACACCGGGGGAGGAGGACCGGACCGGGAAAGGACCGGAGGGGACGAGGAACAGACACGTGCGGGTGTTGACCGGCGCACCCATTTAAAAACACTGAAAGATCTGGAGGTGATGGAAACAGGACGTAAAGATGAAACATATAGAAGGATTGATAATTTGTCCCTGCAAATCTCAGGTCGTTGAGAAGGTAGGTACAGTATCCTGATATATCCTGTCCTAATTAGGTAATGGAAAATAGATGACAATAATAAACACTATATAAAAATACTTTCTTGGGAAGACTGGAGCATGTGTCGACCTGGATTGCTTACATTTTGCCACGAACAAAAGGATCTGCGGGCTCCCAAAGGTAGGGCGATGTCCAAGCTTTGGACTGGTATTGGCAAGGAAGGACTGCAGGTGAATGGACTTATTGAAAAACATTCTACTGCCATATTGGGGTGGTGATGTTTTAGGAGTCAACGGGCGCACTGCCCCCCATTGTGAGTGCCATGTGAGTGCCCTCCTTGTGGGTCCAAGTTACGGCACCGCCGGCCAAGTCATCCGAAGAGCCGATGAGTCGAGTGGCCGCGCAACCCTTGGTCAAGCGCCCCGAAAGTGTCTCACGGCGGAACTCGGAACTGCGCGGCGCTCGAGGAAAGCAGTGAAGAGCCTGTGAAACAACGACGAGAACCATCCTGTTCTGTGGCGAACAGAACTCTAAGAAACTGCACCAGATGCCCAGGACCCCACAGCGAGATGCCCAGCGACCTCTCCCCCCCCCCAAAAGCGACAAAAAAAGGGCAGGCTTCCTGGATGAGGGCTGCGATAGGTTGGAACAGGGAACGAAGTTTCAGTCAGGAAAAACTCCTGGTTCCTGTTTGACTCAAGATGAGGGGTTTGAAAAACCATGAGGGACTAACTTGAAGATGGCAATTCAATTTCTTCAACCAAGCACACTCCCGATCCACCCAACCAAAATGAGAACTGGCCTGGCCGAATTCTGAGCCACTGCAGCCAGGTGGCCTCCCTCTTCCAGGCTGAGACTTCAGCTGAGGCTGTCAAAGTTGCCTGAGCGCCCTGGTGAGTGGACGCGAAACGCTCAACCCGTGCGGTGCACGGTGCGTGCGCAAGACGCGCGCGCAGCAGGTGTGACACGCGCGACACAGAGGTTGTGTGTTTCAGATAGATAGATGGTGCTTTGGGTGGCTCGAAAGCAGGTCCAAAGAGCAATTGTTATCGTTTTGGCATGCTGCAAGTTTCAGGATATGTGTTGACTGACGTGTGGCTCTTTGAGTCTGCCACACATTCCAATGTGATTTTGATCTCCACACGATCCTGCACCTGGGCACCACAGCTTGTTTAAAAACACCTGGGCACCAGCTGTCGCGCTGTGTGGCTTCCACCGTTGTGGATGACCGCAGCGCATTGATTACCGGTCTGCTCAGCAGACCGGGCCGGGACCGTTCCAAGCAGAAAACGGCCGCCCGGAGTTGGGAGACTCGGCCGCAGAGCGAGGTATGATCCTGGTATCAAAAGACTTGTCAAATTTCCCTGGGAGAAGACCCTGCTTTACTTGCCTCTTGGTCGAAATCCCAGCGTTTGGGTCATTTAAAGAAACCACACACACATTCGAAGATGCGTTCCACGTACTTCCACGTACCCGAACCCCACTCCTTCCACGTGACCTGGATCATCCTGGATCATGTGGGGCTTCATGTTCCTCTTCACTCCAGGTTCAAGACCTTGGAGTTGGAGACCCTGAAAAAGGCCCGTCCGTTGACCACCGTTACGCGTCGCAGACGGGAGGTTGGAGCTCTCAAACCATCTCAAACCTCGCGTTAAACGTTTAAATTATGACCTTGGATTGGTTTTGGGGGTGGCCTGGTGCTGCTATTTTTAGGTGTTTTTGCTGTTTCATCGGCAGACCCGTTTGTTTAGGCCTTTCAATATGATCACGACACTAGGTCTTGGAGTGGCCGTCTTTGGTTCAGCCTGCCTCACGGGTGTTGACGGTTCAGCGGTTTTTCCAGGGTCAGACGGTTGGGTCCCGTCGGGAAGACCCCAGTGTGCCCCGGTGTGTCTTCATTGGTTGGTTCCTGCCACACCAGGCCACCAGGCACATGAAAAAAACACAACATCATTAATGTATCACTGGGATACATCCAAATGGTCCCAATACGGTGGCTTTTCAGCCGCCTGTTCTGGAGTAGGTGTTCCAGTGTGATTGAGTAGAGGTGCCTAACTAGGCACAGGAGTCAAAACACTGGCTTGCACCTTAGCCCAAGATTCTTTACACAACCAAGAGGCCCTCGTGTCTTGAATTTCACCAGTGTTGGCGGCAGGAGATGCAGTAGGAAAATTCCAAAAGGGAAACAGAAAAGGGATACAAAATGATGGGAACTTGTTCGTTTGCTTGCATGTTTATTCTCCACATGTTTGTGCTTGCCATGTCCACCTTTACATTTTTCATGCAAGCACTTTTCGTTGCGTTGCTGTTGGTTGTGTCTATTAATGTCTATTATATTATTGATTTATATTGTAAATTGTAAATCTTGTTAACTTATTTGCCCGTTCTAGTTCTAAGTTATACACGTGTCTCTCTATCTACATAGCTTTAAAATTCTTTACTATGCTGGTGGTTGCCTTCATTTGAAGGCACTTTCACTGACGCAGCCCATGGATTCCCCGCGCATGGCCTGGGACGGTGTTCCGATCGGTTGGGATCCGGATCCGGGTGGCCTGAAGGTGGCCTGAAGTCAGCGGCCAGAGCGTCCGGATGTCCCGGATGCGGAAAACCGCAGTTCCCAGTGCAGCTCCAGTTCCCATCGCTCCTCGCAAGGCTTATGCACAAACGCATCAGCAGCTTCAGCAGCAAATCCTTCAGCTTCAGACGCAGGCGCCGTGGGTTGGTGACGGTGACGGGGGACTGGGCCCGCCGTGGGTTGGTGAGTCCTTCGAAAACATGGGTGGACTTCCTCTCAAAACATGGGTCATGTTTGGGTTCTATAGTTCAACGATGTTGAACGGAAAGGCCTGTTGTGAGCGGTGGACTTCCCAGTTGTGCAGACGAATGCAGACATATAATCTGACCTTGCCACTGGCTTTGCTGCATGCTTGGCATTGAGACAACTTATGCCCGAAATTTGCCGGCATTTGTCGGTTGCACTCTAGAAGCACAGATTGATCCGGATTAATCAGTAGGCTTAATCCAAACCCACGAACTTTCCCACTGATGAATCCAGAACCACATCCTCTTTTGCAATGGGAGTTGCATGGAAATAGATTCATATCCAGGAACTTTTGAATAAACACCTGATCTTTTGAATTTATGGCAGTTTTGAACACATAGTTGGGTGGAAAGTATGCATAATCAATATTCATTCAATCATGTTAAACTGATTTAACATAATACACTATAACTATTTGTAAACAAGAACTATATTTACCACTATTCAGTGGAACCGCTGGCTGTGATACATGAAGCAAATCTCCACCCCGCTGAAAAAGGACCATTTGCACCTTGTTTTCCAGAATCGACCATGGCCGCTGCGAGGTCAATGAGGTTCGAGTGAAGGGTGAAGACGTCAACAGGCGGCGAGCGGCGTCCGAGCTGAGCCGCGTTTCACGCGATCCCAACGCAACGCGTTGGGATCACGTGCCGCGTTTCTGCATGGACGGATTTGACCAATTCCCTCGGTCATCTAAGGTCCGTTGGATCCTCTCCCCAAGACATCCTAATGTCATCCTAGGTCCCATCCCTAATGTCAAGACGGTCCTCTCTTTGTGTCGGGAAGTCAAATGGCGTTTGCTTGTCAGACGACGAACTCCTGATACTTAAAAAGGGGAGTTCACTTCGGTGATCGTTGGATGATGGTAGATACTTAACAAATTAGTCTATAGTGTGTTCAACTGCTCAATAGTCCTTAGATTGAGATTCTGCCAATTGCTTTACACCAAATTCCAAAGGATTGTGGAAGTATTGTGAAAGTGGACTATTGTCCATTGGGATAAGCCTTGCGTTTGGCATTGATTGGTTGACACCTCTTGTGGAAAGCCAGCTCCACAAAGACAATCTCTTCCCTTCAAAACAGGTATCCAGTTAAGTTAAACATGTAGCTATTTGGGTGACAGTTATACAGTTTATACAGCACTTGTTGAGGATGGACCTTGGGGCACAAGTCTCAGTCCCGGTCCATTCAGTCCCTGTCTCTTCACATCGGAGATTTTAGGACAAAACAAAGTCGACTGCGGATGACCAAGTCATCGAATCAGCCGGAAGTGGATGGCATGGCCCCGAAAGGAAGACCATTGATCATCTAGCAACCGGGGTGCCATCCACTTCCTTCGTCTCTGCTTTCGCCCGCCATCTCCGCCATCTCGGGGCAGAACCGCCATCTCCCCGGTCGCTTCCGGTCGCTTCTCAGACCGAACGTCCGGTCACGGCGGGAGGCAGCAGCACTTGAACGTGGAGCAACACGTGAGCAAGGTCTCCGAGGCGAACGGCTCCATCTCCTCGGCTCCGACCGGGGCGGGTCGGGGAACGGTCGGGTTGTAGGCGGCACCGAGCGCAGCGAGGTCGGAAGAAACGAAGGGTTTGTCAACGTTGGGACTCAACGTTCTTCTTTCTTTTCAAGTGCTAAGTACGTCAGTTTTGAGGATTTTGGAGGGGTGATATGGTCATGTGGTGTGAAAAAGGGGGTGGAGTGGAGTTGTGGAATTGGCAAACCATAACAAACACCCAGGAGAAAGAACTGTAACACTGTAACATACGTGATTCGTGAAGTGCCTTGGATTTTGGTGGTCTTCTATTTTGAGCCGTGGTCCTGACTTTTCTTTTGGGATCGAACAAACATGAACAAACTTGCTCTGCAGAGGAATGCAGTTATCGGGTCTATCATCTATTTGATATAGTTTTCTTTCAGGCTGCTACAATTCACTTGACTTGTTCAGAGTAGTCAATTATCACTCTTCCTTTTCCATTCAAAAGGAGCCACCTTTTGGCTGAACCTGAACCTGGATGGACAAAGACGATTGCTACAGAGCGGGATCCATCCTGACCGACCGGGATCAAGACTGAAGATCTAGGTCTAGGTAAGCCTTATAAGTATATAAGATATAATGGGTGGATCGGTGGATCTCCCCCACAAATGATATCTCCTGGTCTCTCTTTTCGTCTCTGAACTGTTCAATACCTCAATTGACTCCAACATCACCCAAGCCGCCGTTGCCTTTGACTCCGAGTGATCTCGTTGTACGGTACGTTTTTTCGATCTCTTCGGGGTGGTCCGAACTGATCTGTAATCAGTCGGTAAACAAGAACACCACTATTTTAGAGGAAGGCCTGCAACTGAACCATCATCATCCACTGTTACAGGGATTAGGATACTCAATATCATTCAAATTCACTCAATTTATATAATACTTTTGATTACTTTAAATATCTTAAATAGTTTTCAATAGTTTTGTCTTGTTGACTGCTTTGACTGTTTGACCGAGCTTGCCACCTTTTTGCAGAGTACAGAGGAAAGTCCTTCAATCCAAGATCCAGCAACCTTCACTCCCCCGGCCCGTCAGTACTGGTCTTTGCGGACCAAGCTTGCCGCGAGGGGCGTTTGAACCGTCCAACACCGGACACGCGTGTCCAACACTTCGGCTCCAGTACGAACACTGGCACTGATAGTGCCGCGTCGCGGCGCTGGAGACAGCGCCGAGTCGCCGACTCGGCGCGTGGTCGCCCGGGCGCGTCGAGTCGGGACGAGGCGCGGAACCGGGAGGGGGAAGGGAGGAGTGGCTGGGGACTGTGGAGAGTGGAACGAGAGTGGAACGCACCAGGGAAGTTGGGATGGGAAGTTGACATGAGATCTCGGTTGTGAAGCTGGAGATATTTGGGAGGGTGGCTGGTCCAAGGTATGACGATTTGAACTCACATCGTTCTTGTGTTTGTTCATAGGATGGGTGGGTGAACTTCACACAAGGTTGACCATGGTTGACCCGGTATTATATTCTTCATTTTGAAGCATCCATGAATGATCATTTAACGGGTTCTTCTTCTTGAATTATCTTATGGACTCATGATTCACCCTTTAAGCATCCACACCCTCAAATGGAAAGGGTTTTGAGGTTTCCCACCCCTGCTACGGAGGGTCCGACCCCTGCCAGTGAGGACACCAAACCCCTTGCACCGCCTCTCAGATCAGACCAACCTCGCCTGCCACTGCCACCAGTCTTTGCCCGATCGCCGATCGCGCCGATCGCGCGTCGCCAGGGCCCATGTCGCAGATCGTGGTGGATGCTTCGGTCGAACAGCCAGGGCGGAACATCCACTTTGGGGATCCGAGCTTCGAGGCGACCGGGCGAGTTGCGCGGCCGCGAGCGAGCGAGCTCAGTGGGTGCTGGTTCGACGGAGTGGAGCAAGGACTGAATGAGGGGAAATCTGTCTTATATCATTTTATACCCCAGACACTCCATGGGACTGCCATAAATGCCGCCCCATTGACCCCCCAAACCACCCCAATGTAGGCATACAGGGCAGTCCCATGGAGTGTCTTACAATGACTCCCGGAACAAGCGGTTTGTTGGGATCCGTTTCCTGGAATCGTCTTCCGACTTCCATATCAACCGATCTTCCCTTTCTGTGGAAGATTTCTGTAACTGTCAAGTACTTGGCCGGTTGGATATTTCGTTCACTACTCTCAGATTCCCTAAAAGAAAGATGGGGGTGGTTCAACACACGTCCCGCGCAGGGTGGCGAGCATGCTCGCCCCAGGGCCAGGCTGGCTGCCTATGTTCCCCTTTTCTGACAGAACGGAAGGACACCACTTCATGGTGGACTGAGTCATGATGAATCACTCACATACTATGTGGGGATGTTTGACCATCCCTCGCCGATTGATACCCGGATGTACCCGTCCAGAGGTTCGTTCGTGCTTCCCCGGTCCGATTGATACCCCCGCTAGGATGTGGACGATACCATGCTCCTGGATCCGCCTGATCCAGTGGACCTGCTGATCGCTCACACCCACGCGGATCAAGCCGTGAACCTGGGCGCCAGGCGTGAAACCACCGGGGAGGAAAGGTGCGGGTTGGAGTGTGCCACTGGAGGACATGGGGTGATTTGGGTGCAGGTTTTTTGGGAGGGCCAGATCCCATATGAGCAACGTCATAAACCTCTATGAAAGAATTTAGGTAGGACTTAAGATTATGAATCTTTGCGAAAGAAAAACTGCAGTTGGGGAAAGCTTGGCGAAAGGTTTGGAGAAAAGCTCTGAATTTTTGATGAACGGATTTTGTTGCGAAAGGGTTGGCGAGAGAGGTTTTCAGTACTAAGCATGTCATCCAAAGATTCCTGATAACCAGGGGAAAGGTTGGTTGGCGAAAGGTTCGCGAAGATGTGGCGAAAGCAGTGGTTGCAGATTAGGAATGATTCCCCTTTGCTGATATTTTTCTTAGATGTAAACAACTAGCAGAAACTCGGCGAAAGGGTTAGCGAAAGAGGTTGTTGGGTGAAGTGGGTCGGCGAAAGCAAAACATGCAGCCGCGAAAGCGTTGCGAAGGGATTGGCGAAAGGTTTTATAATCTTAATGAAAGCTACAGATGGTTTTTGACACCGTTCACATGCATGGTTTTGTTTGGAGGGAAAAGTCGGGAAATGCTGGTGAATGCGGCAAGATGAGATGAATGTTGCAGATAGGGCAAGCATGGGCCAACCCCTTCCGGCCACTGACGGAGCAGATATGAGCGACTAGTGCTGTGGAAGATGATGACGATGATGGGCTTTGCTGGCCTTGGTGTGAACTCTCAACAGCCGTCAGGCCCTTGGACTTTGTCCGCGCCAAGATGAGCGAGCTGAAGAAAGAGAACAGCAAGTTGAAAAGCAGGCGACCGTGACGCATGCGAGCACGAGCACGCATGAGCGGCCTTTAGCTTTATCTTGGGAGTTCTCCTTAGTGGGCCCAGTCAGAAAAAAGATGGTATATTCTCTAAGTCTCCAGCTATCTGATTCTCAGTGATTTGGATAGACTAGACTAGACTCAATGGACTGTGACGCTCGTCGGGGTGGTGAATGGACACCCCTAGTCACGAATGGACATCCGAAACGAAACGAAGAATCAAGTGAATGTTAAGCAGATGGTGCAAAGCCGGTGACAATGGTCTTTATTCTGGGGACCATTAATGATTCTTCTCCAGCCTCCAGCCATTATCCCTGGGCTTGGAACTCTTCTGTGCTAGCCTGTCCTGCGGAAGGTATTGCCTTTGTTTCTGTTGCACCCCATCCTCCTGTAACATTGAATGCAGTTTGGGTAGCCTGGTAGTGAAGACGCAGTAATAAGTCGATTGGAATAGCTCCTAGCTCAACACACACCCAATACGTATCAATGTCGCTCCGCAACGAACACCGCCCGCACCAGTACAATATCAGCATGGTGTTACAATTTGCAGTTGAACCCAACGACATGCCACAAATTTGGCGTTACATGGACCTTGGCACTGGCACAATCAACTATTTTTTCAGATAAATCCGATCAAATGCCTTCGTGGAGGGAAGACGACATTTTTTGTTATTGACAAGGAGGACATCAGCAATTTTGTTTTGTGACGAGGTGGGAAAACAAGAACAGGCAGCGTTTTGAAGCACCCAAATGGATTTCTTTCCCTGATCATTGGGTTTTGAACGCTGGTTTGCAACCCTGGTTTGTAACGGGCTTGTGTTTGGGTGCACGGTCTTTTCACCGAAGACCTGCTTGCCGTCCGGTCCCCACGGCCGGACCGTGCGCACGGTCCACACGGTCCCGTCACCAGGGTGGCGGATTTGGAGCAGACGCTCTCCATCGTGCAGACCGCCCAAGAGTGGACCATGGGCAAAGGCGATGCCGGGAACCGGTGTTGTTCGTTCTATTTTGAGGCGAAGATGTTGTGTGGAATTTTATGACGTGTGGCGGGTCCGAATCCCTTGCAGGTTTCTCAGGCATGTTCAGGAAGTTGTGTTCATTGGTTGTTTCATCATGTTTCATCCGAACATTCGAGACCTATTCAGGTGTGGGGCACTTGCTCCATCCAAGAAAAGAGCAGGTCAAGAAGAAACAACCCAAAAAAGAACCACCAGACCTGAACAGCCTCGTTTTTTTTTCACCACTCAGGATGTGACTGGGCCATCTCCATTCACCCGGCGACTTGTTCTCGTGAACCGTCACACTCCTTCGAAGCATTGCACAGGAATGACGCAGGAGCAAGCTGCGCGGATGCAGGAGATCAAAGCACTCCTGGAGCAGGCGAGCCCGAGGAGCCGGGCGAGAGCCGGGCGGGGTCTTTAACTGTGGACCCTGGAAGAAGGTGGACAAGATGATTGGATGGAGGATGCGAACAGCTGTGAACCTCAAACCGTGAAAGTACCATGCTAGTTAATAGATTTATAATCAATACGTATATTAATATAAATTAGGAATGGGATGATTGGATATCTAATATATTATAAAACAAAATAATATAGTATAATATAAAAATATATTAAAACTACAATGTAATATAACATACCATGGTATACTGTATATTATATATATTACATAATTTAATGTATATACAATATATATATATATATTGAAGGCTCCACGTGTGGGCCGCTTGTACGAATTTGCCTGTTGCGGGAACCAAACGCATGGCGGGATGTTTTGTTTCGCAGGGCAATTTTATCATCTTGTACCATCAATCATCATCGATGGGCTAGAATTGAAGCTTCATTTTTTGTGGGGCTTTGTGGACTTTGGACCATGTTGTTGTTGTTGTTGTTGTTGTTGGATGATCCAATCTAGCCAGCCGTGCCACTTCGTGTCCGCAGGCCAAAAAGGCCCGAGAAGAAATGTGCCTCAGCCGCAAGCGGCAGCGGCGAAGTGGCGGGTTCGAACGAAGCGGTGTTCTCCAAGTGGATCCGAGCAGCCAAAGCAGAGTGGGTGTCGTTACAGGCCATCAGAGTAGATGGCACAAACCATGTCTTTTGGATGGGGGTCCATATAAGCCATTTTTTGGGGATTGTGCCATCTAATTACACTATAGCTTCACAGTGGGACATGAGGGACGCTGGAATGAGGGACATGAGTGTCTTTTCGGTTTTTTTTTGTGATCTGCTGGAATGGGATGTGTCATGACGCCTTTCAAAGTTCAATTTCAGAGCTGGGGAAAGACACCAATTGAATCCATTTCATGTCTCCAGTTTTGGGCCACCTGCTGTCTACTCGCAGATTTTACAGGCTCTGCGCTTTCGCTTCAACTCACACTCGCTGCCTGATAGACTTCATACCCCAATCCCGTCCCTGGCCATTTGCACCGAAACCGAAAGCCCTGCTCCCAAACTCCTCAGGCAGAACTTTTCGAGCGCCTCACGCGCGGCGCTGTACGAAAAGCTACGGACCTGCAAAGCGATGCTTCGGAGAGAAAGACAAGAGAAGCTGGAGATGAAGGACGCGAGCCTACTCACCAGTTCAAGGGACAAGGGTTGGCTGAGGTCTGACGAGGGTCGGTGGCTGAGAGGTAGGTTGGCAACAATTCATCCCCAGGCCATGGCCATGGTGGTGAAATTCACAGCTTTAGGACTACTGCTAAAGACTTAGGTGATGCATGACCTGTATCTTGTATTGGAAGCTGAGGCAGATGGTTTAAACACATGCTTAAAGATGTGGAGTCTGAGAGGAGTGGGGAAAGGATGGGAAAGGTGTTGGTGCATGTTCAATTGCCTACTCTCCTCGCACAGGATACTATACTTTTGCTTTTTGTACTTTAACCCAGTTGAGCTATGGCAATCTTGGACGCATGTGGACCCGGACCTAGTATTTGTTTTCATGGTTTTCTTTGAATTTCATGCAGGAATTCTGCGCTGCGCTGCGCCGCCTAGAAACCATCACCTCAATTCATCTCGAGTCTCAAGCCAGTTCCTGTGGTTGTAGGTCTGCAGGAATTTATTGGTCAAAAGTTATGCGAACACTTCCAATATCTTGCGAGCCTACTCCGTACAAACTGGTTTAAGAACTTGAACTCTAAAGGTGTTGTGTGGAAGAAGTTGTTAACGATGCTCTCGCCCTCTACTGCAGTTCAACAAAAGCCAGTTTCAACTCACTATGTTTGTTCACCCCTGAAACAGGCTCACTACCTGAAACACCCAGCCAGTTCGCCGGTTTTGGGACCCGTTTGGACACCCTCCCATCCGGGGTGCGCTCCTTGTCCACGCAAGCGATCTCCAGGACCGCTTGTCGCACGCCTTCGACCACGCGCGGGCACATCGCGACGCCTTCCGACGGCTGAAGCAACAGCGAGATGAGGAACAGGAACGATGGCAACAGGCCTGGAAGGTGCCTCGACGCAATGAGGTGAGGATGTTAATGCTGATAGGCGGTTTTTAGATCCCAAAGAATGATAAGAATGGGACAGGTTCATTTTCTGGGTTTTTCGATGATGTTTCTCTTTGTAGGGTGATAGAGGGGAGGAGCTCTGCCATCTTTTTGGAGACTCTGACCTAGCTTTTTGGAGACTCTGACCCGGCATGTGGAGGTGTTTTTTGTTTGGAAACTGCCCAGTCCCATCCCCAGTGGTGAAGGGCGGCATGTGGATCACCGGGGACGGGGCGACATGGGGTGGCCACGGTGGTTGAGAAAGAGTTGAGCGACAGAAGTCAGTGAGGTTTGTACCATGATCCCCACCCTGTTACTGAGCTTTCGAGGGGGGGGACCTCAAAAATGTAACTTACATTTTTTGGGGGGGACCCTAAATGTAACAACCCCCCCCCAGGCAAGATTTCAGGGTCTCTGGAGGGGGGGGGGAGGGGGCCTATAAAATGTAACTATGGACCTCCCAGGGCCTATGTTACATTTTTGCACCCCCCCCCGATGCCTTTTTTTGGGGGGGGGGTGGAAGAAATGTAACAAGATACCTCCAAGGTAGTCTCACAGGTGTATAGTTACATTTGTTCTCCCCCGCTTTTAGCTTCGTGGAGCTTGCATGTGTATGTAGAGCATTTGGCTCCACGATGGCACATGCCGTTGAGAAAGACAATACCGAATTGGACTAAACGAGATTTTCAAAGATAGAATAGACATGGTCAACTCATTATTTTGTTTGGCTCTGGCTGGCAGGGATAAGGCTTGGTGATGCTTGGGAGGTGAAACATTGGTGGATCAGGCAACAGACAAGCAGGTAAACATGCAAGCTTTCAAGCCCTGGACAAACAGTAAGTTACATTTATTATGGTCCTTTTGTGAAGTCTTTTTTCTTTTTGAGCTTGGGAGGTGTGAGGCAGGGGGTTTGTAGTGTGGTGGGCCAAAGGATGCTGGAAGCAAACCCTCCAGTGGCGCACAGTCCAGGGAACCATATGTGATAATGGAGTATTTCATGCCGGAACTCACTTACATTTTTTCTTGTCCTGTTTGTACTTCCACAGTAGGAATTGGACCAGCTGTGGCCGGCAGGGAGAACGCTGGGCAGTGGTTGGGTGATAAAAAAATGTAACTAAGTGCGCCCCAGGCAACAGACAAGCAGGTAAACATGCAAGTTTTCAAGCCCTGGACAAACAGTAAGTTACACTTATTATGGTCCTTTTGTGAAGTTTTTTTTCCTTTTTGGGCTTGGGAGGTGTGAGACAGGGGATGGCCAAGCATTTCTTGTAGTGTGGTGGGCCAATGACTGAGAGATGCTGAAAGAAGGATGCTGGAAGCAAACCCTCCCGTGGCACACAGGACAGGGAACCATATGTGATAATGGAGTATTTCATGCCTACCCAGAACTCACTTACATTTTTTTAAATCCTGTTTGTACTTCCACAGTAGAAATTGGACCAGCTGTGGCTGGCAGGGAGAACGCTGGGCAGTGGTTGGGTGATAAAAAATGTAACTAAGTGTGCCCCAGGCAACACACAAGCAGGTGGGCACTTGCGAAAAGCGCAGAGGGAAAAACTGCTACAGCATGCTGCAGTTTATGACCTTCAAGATGTAAGTTACAGTTGCAGGCAGACTGCCTGGAAATTGTAACTTACATTTTTTGCAGACTGTTACATTTTCTGCCTGTGGATGCCAGGAAATTGTAACTTACATTTTCCAGGGTTTTCTGAGAAAGTGTAACTTACATTTTCCAGGCACCCTCGAACAGGAAAATGTAAGTTACATTTTTTCAGATCCCCCCCTGCATACTGGGTAGGGATGTACCATGTACTCTGAAAACGACCAGGATATTTGTTCACTGCGGAATACTGTAATACGTTGTTTTGAATTTATGTTTGGTCTCATGTATATGTGATTTTATATCATCTATCAGCTTGCTCAGCAAGTTCAGCCTCAACGCCTGGGTGAGGGTAGGGACACCCGCTGGCAGTGAAACAGTTGGTATTAGTTGCTGGGGATGACATGACATGGGGACACCTGAAACATGACATGACGCGGTGGAGATGCTGCCCAGTGGGTTCCAAACATCCATCGCCCAGTGCCTTGCGGGACCGATTCGGTCTCGAGGCGACAGACGACTCGAGCGATTCCCGAAAGCCGGTCGGTTCCGTACCGGTCACGAAAAAGGTGGTTCCATTCCTTTGCCGTGCCCCATACTTGATTGCACTCAAATCCACAAAGAGGTCAATTGGAAGCTTGGGATGTTGCATATCATTCAACATCACGCAATCATTCAGGACAATGATGATTCCATTCATCATGGTCCTCTTTCTCGGAACGATGAAAAACACGTTTCCCCCCTGTTTTTTATTTATTCTATTAGGCCTCCACCTGATCATCTCCATCTCACGGCACAAAGACCTCTCCAAAGATCTCCCTCCGGCCTCTGACTGGTGCGACTCGTAGGGAATAAGGGAAGTTTCGCCCCCCCAATAAAGAATTCCATTGGATCCAGCCACCCTCATTCGCGTTCGTCGCACCAGTCAGTCTCTCTCACCGAGGAGGCCAAGGACCGGCACCGCTTGGAGCTCCGGCGCCTGGGCGGCGACGCCGCCGCGCTGCAGTCCGACCGGCAGGACCAATTCGGCCGCTGGGCACGCCGGGGGGGGTGGGGGACGGAGGTGGGTAGGGGTGGGTGGTGAGCTTAGACTGCGTTTGAAGGGAGTTCCGTTGTAAGCCTAGGGGTGGGGGGGTTCCTGCAGGTAGGCATTGAAGGGTTGATTTGATGGAATTGGTACACATTGAGGAGAGAAGATCTCTGCCAGGGTGCATGCGGGTATTGTTTTGCATGGGTTTCCCTCAGGTCTTAAACAATCGAGGCCTAGGTGAGCCAACACCTTATATTTCCTTATCAAAGGGTATCAAAGGTGTTGAATGGTAGAACTGTTGCTTTTGGTGCCGTGCACACCTTACGGGATTTTACGGGATGGTGACAACATGACAGACCTCCCCCGCACCAACTTGAAATGCCTGTGTTTCACCAATATTTTAAGACCCACTTTGGCAACCCACCACCGCCAGAGTGGGCTTGGACAGATCTCGAAGATGACGGGTTCGAAATGTTCAATTCGAGCTTCAGTGCTAACTCTGGAAAATGATCTTGGCAACCCCCTTGCCCTCGTCATCTTACGACCAACTGTTCATTTTGAGGGCCCTAGAGACCGGGACAGTCCTTTCCCTTTCCTTGAGAGCTTTTTGTGAGGCAGCCCGGGCACCGAAATTTGGCCCGAATGCCACGTGCTAACCGCTCAAAGGGGCGACCCCAAAATCGTAAGAGAACGCATTTCTTCGGACATGTGCAACCGCTCAAAACATCTCAATGAGCTTGCTGAATGAGCTTGCTGAGCTTGCATCCGTTGAGCTGAGGCTACTACGGTGAGCGTGTGCTAGATGACCTGCTGGCATTACAGCAGCACCTCAAGAGTGTGAAGGTCTGGGGTTACAGATGAACCTGGAATCCAATGACGATTTTATACGGTTGGCACATGTTACTACTATACCCAACGACGGTCCCGTGATACCTAGCGATCATGTCTTGGTGAGACATAGACAATGAAAATCTATGAATATCTATTTTCGGTCTAATCTGAGTATTTCCATGCCCGATGTTTTTGAAGGACTATGAAGAACACCTTGCAGATGCTTCGGTACGTTATTTTCTGGCTTCATGCCGGGCGTCTTTCTGTTGACGTCTCGGCCGCCCACGTACACCGTGTGGAACTCCTTCTATTCGCACTGCACCGGTGGCACCGGCGGCAGGAGCGGACGGTGGACATGGTGCTGGACGACGAGTTCCCTGGGGAACTCCCAGAGCTCGGAGATCCCACCGAGGGCGCTCAGGCGCAGCTGTCGCTGGGACGGGCTGTCGTAGTTGTGGGGTTTGGCAAAGCAGGGGTTTTCAAACGCCGGGGGGGAACTCGTGAGGATTTTCCAGGTGTCATGGGTGACCAATTATTGAACCAGATGGGAGAGGATGAGAGTAAAGTGGACGGGGCTCCAATTCCACCACTTGAGGTTAAGCCCTTGTGTGTTGGAACTGATCTAGATACCATCAGATACCTGAGGCGAGGCTTGAGCATTCATTTGCCGGATTCAGCTCAGCTGAAACACATCCCAGCCAGGAGCTGGGGTGTTTGACCAGGAAGACCTGCCTCATCCTTTCTAGTGTGCTAGATGACCTGCTGGCATCACAGCAGCACCTCAAGAGTGTGAAGGTCTGGGGTTACAGATGAACCTGGAATCCAATGACGATTTTATACGGTTGGCACATGTTACTACTATACCCAACGACGGTCCCGTGATACCTAGCGATCATGTCTTGGTGAGACATAGACAATGAATATCTATGAATATCTATTTTCGGTCTAATCTGAGTATTTCCATGCCCGATGTTTTTGAAGGACTATGAAGAACACCTTGCAGATGCTTCGGTACGTTATTTTCTGGCTTCATGCCGGGCGTCTTTTTGTTGACGTCTCGGCCGCCCACGTACACCGTGTGGAACTCCTTCTATTCGCACTGCACCGGTGGCACCGGCGGCAGGAGCGGACGGTGGATATGGTGCTGGACGACGAGTTCCCTGGGGAACTCCCAGAGCTCGGAGATCCCACCGAGGGCGCTCAGGCGCAGCTGTCGCTGGGACGGGCTGTCGTAGTTGGGGGTTTTCAAACGCCGGGGGGGAACTCGTGAGGATTTTCCAGGTGTCATGGGTGACCAATTATTGAACCAGATGGGAGAGGATGAGAGTAAATCATTTGCCGGATTCAGCTCAGCTGAAACACATCCCAGCCAGGAGCTGGGGTGTTTGACCAGGAAGACCTGCTTCATCCTTTCTAAATGCTCCCACTGGCTGGACATAGATTATGATATACGTAGGGTCTGTCCTATTGCCTGTAACAGTCAGTAAACAATTCTCAAAATTTTGGAACAAGGCCTGTACCAGGTACTATATAACCATCATCATCCACTGTTACAGGTAATAGGATAGATCCAAGATATACGTCGTAGTAGTAGTAGTAGTCGTAGTGGTAGTGGTAGTGGTAGTAGTAGTGGTAGTGGTAGTAGTGGTAGTAGTGGTGGTAGTGGTGGTAGTGGTGGTAGTGGTGGTAGTGGTAGTAGTAGGAGTAGTAGTAGTAGTAGGAGTAGCAGTAGCAGGAGCAGGAGTAGTAGTAGTAGTAGTAGTAGTAGTAGTAGTAGTAGCAGGAGTAGTAGTAGTAGTAGTAGTAGTAGTAGTAGTAGTAGTAGTAGTAG